CGCCGGGGCAACAACGAGGGTTGCGTTCCCGTTGCCGGTCCCGGTCCGGTACGGGGGCGACACTGAGGGTTGCGAACCTTTGCCGGACACGGAAAAAGACAAAAAAAAAAAAAAAGAAAAGAAAAAATATGAAATAGTTTTGATATACAAGAAAAGGCTTATTATAGAAATGACTCAGCAAATACTTCACCACTTTCTTGTACATTTTTCTGTTATCTGCAAAATGGAGATTTAAAAAAAAAAAACTACCTTAGGATTTGTGTGAGAAAACATGAGATATGCACATTAAGTGCTTAAAACAGAGTCTGATATATTACAATTAAGAAATTTTAGTCCATGATGATGATGATGGCAGCTGTAGTGCTTGTGGTAATGATTAAATCTAATAATACAGGGCATGAAACAATCAGCAACATTATCACAGAAAAGAAATACCTGCAAGTTTAATTGTTTTTTTTACATGCCAAGACCTTTAGAAATGCCAAAACATATTTCAAGCTATTGTCTGTTTTATTTTGGATAGATTATGTGTGGAACTCAAGTAAATAAGTATTTTCTAGTAGATGGTATTAGAAAAAGTTGAGGTACAGTGATCAGCTGGAATAATAATATCAACTTCTTTTGAAATATTATTGTCTGAACAAGTCACTAATAATAGAGACATATCAACTGCAAATCCCTTCCATCAGGTTGTTCTGTTTTTTTTTTTTTTTTTCCTATTATGATTGATTAGATATACTTCATAGCATGTACAAACTACTTCAAAAAAAACTATTTTGCTCTGGAAACCCTAAAGAAAAAGACTTAATAAGAAGAATACATCTACAAGGCTTTGCCCGGAGGAGTCTATATTGAGATATTTTTTTCTTCATGTTAAAAGACACAATAGTTTAAAATAGCCCTAAAAACACATCCCAAAATCTCCTGACTTGCAAGAACTGAATTCATCCTACAACATCTAAACGCTTTTACCTTCACTGGTACCTCTCCCTACTACTATCCTCATTAGGCTAATAC